CAACAACATAGGACAGAATAGAACCTGCCCACAGGGTTCTAGGCTTTAAATTTTTACAGAAACAGACTGTCCCATCTTTGCTACATATTGCCTGCTAGGTTTGAACTGTCAGCTTTTTGGTTAGCAGCTTAATATTTTAATCACTGCATCACCTTGGCTCCTCTTTACTATTCCTTTCTTTAGGTGACTGTGGGTTTGTTTTACTGCTCCATTCCTATTTAAGGTTTCGGGTTAATGTCGTCATTTGGCCTCTTTCTTTTGTAGTATGTGCATTACTACAATTTGACCTCTGGAGAATGCTTTTGCTGTGTCCCAAAGGTCTTAGTGTGTTTTCATTTTTGACTCTAGAAATAGTAAATATTTTACTTCTCTTGGTATTTAGTGGCTTTTAAGCAAGGTTTCATTCTGTTTCTGTTATTTAATTTCCCATTCCTTGCTCCTCTTACTACTGATAGATAGCTGCTTTCATAGTGTTATATTATATAGTGTTATACAAAATATTATATAGTATTTAGATTTTACAGATCCTTGATTTGTGGTTTCAAATGTGGCCTATTCTAGAGAATTATATTTTGCTACTGTTAGGTGGAATGTTCTGTAAAAGTATGATGCCAAGTCATTTGACAGATATTCTGTATTTTGTTGACGGACCTCTAGTGGCCTAGTGGATAAACAGTTGTTCTGACAATCCCAGGACAGATTGTTTTAACCTGCCAGCTGCTCTAAGAGAAAAAAGAAAAAGATGAGCAGTTTCCTCCCATGGAATTTACAGCCTCTGAAAACCCATTGCAGGTCAGCTATGCGTCATTTCCAACTCAATGACAATGACTTGAGTGTCTTGTTAAGGTTTTTTTGTAAAGTAATGAAATAAAAGTTTACTGATAAATTCATACATTACCAAAAGAATATGTCCTAAGTATAAAAAGGGAAAACTATACAATTTTCACTTAAAATAGAAATATGTAAAGAATAAGGCCACTGAGCATTATATCTTTTTTTCATTAAATCATTTTTGTGTGTTTGTTATGAAAAATTTCCACTGTTGTTTCACGACATGGTCTTAAATCAAGATCACAATATCCAAGGGTAAAACGACCCTAAAAAGAGAAGAAAAGAATGGTAAAAAGTTGAATAAAAAGTATGCTCAGTCATCCTATGATTATATATCCTACCTGTGGTTTCTTAAAATAATCAAGTCCTCTTCCAATTTTAATTATCCATCCATTGTTGAACCTATTGAATTACAATATTATATTAAAGACATTTAAGTTAGGCAAATATAAAAGCTATAGTGTAATAAGTGTTAACAAAATGTGTCTCTAACAAAGAAAGCCATTTCCTCCAGTGTTTTAAGTTGAATTAAACCTGAGGTTATTCAATGGATTATGTATACAATGAAATAAAATATCCCTAAGAATAATTTTCCAGTTTGCTTAACTGATTAAGGTTTTAACAATTAAATTAAACCCTACTCTTGAATTTCAAATAATGGCACAGGATAGGGCAAGATTCAGAGCTGTTGTTCATAGGGTCACTATGAGTCATAGCTGACTCAATGGCACATAACAACTTGAATTTTAGTCTATTGATAACAACTTCCTATTCTGCTAATAAGTAGTTTCAGAGTATACTCAAGCATATTGTCAGTTTTTCAGGGGTTTCCTTACCTAGAGATGGGGAACATGAGCAGGAAAAGCTCTGGATCCAGATCTCTCCTTCAATCATGTTGTTAAGTACTATCTAGTTGACTATGACTCATAGTGACCCTATGAACAACAAATCTGAATTTGCCCTATTCTGGACCATCCTTACTATCTCGGACATGCTCGACCCCTTTATTCCAGTCACTGTATCAATCCATCTTGTTGAGGGGTCTTCCTCTTTCTTGACCCTTCACCTTTCCCAGCATAATATCCTTTTCCAAGGACTGGCCCCTCCTGACAATATCCTTAATGTATGTGAGTTGAAGTTCCATCATCCTTGCCTGGAGTACCCTCGTTGTACTTCCTCCCAGACAGATTTGTTCTTTTGGCACTCCGTGGGATATTCAGTTCTCTTCTCCAACACCACAAGAGCAGTTTCATTTTCATCTATTTATATATTTAGATTGTGCATCTCAATCCATGGAGTCCACTGCTATAAACACATGAAAAGCCACTGTGCTCAAAAGAAGAGAACAAAACACTAATTGTACAAACTATTTCCTTCCAAACAAGGCATATCTTCATGCCTCCTGTTATTGTTGTTGTTAAGTGCCGAAAGACCTGAACACTTGTATAACTTTCATAATTTCTCCAGGTTCTTAAGAGTTTCCAGAGGCTAGCTATTTCAGAAGAGGATGCCACTCCTGCTTCCAAGCTTGTTTTAATCAGAGAGCTCGACAAAACACTGTCCACCCTGGGCAACCATTATCACATTTGACACATCAGTGTCACAGTTAGCATCACAATAACCATGAGTTACAGACCAGTGCTATACCACTTAGAGGAATGTTTGACCAAAAATAATTAAAACTGGATCTCAGGCCCAAATGCCTTTTTAAATAAGAGGCCGAATATACTCAACTCACAGCCAGTGGCTAGTCAACAATGCATCTGGAGTCTCACCAGAACCAGAAATCAAAATCTCTGAAGAGTCAGGCTGCCCTACTAGAACACTTAATAAACCATACTAAGTAAAACCTTCTGCCTTTGAGTTAATTCTGACTCTTAGTGACCCAATAAGAAAAAGTAGATCTGACACATACAGCTTACAAGGATAGAAAACTTTACAGATTTTACAGATCTTTACAAATCTTACATCTTTCTCCTGTGAAGTGGCTGGAGGGTTGGAGTTGCCCACATTTTGGTTAGCAGCTAAGCACTTATACATGGAGCCACTCAGAATGCAAACGTTGCTGAGTCGGTTTTGACTCATAACAGCCCTCCATTAGGGTTCTGAGGCTGTAAAGTCACGAGAGGAGACTGTCTATCTTTCTCCAGTGGCACTGATTCAAACCACCAGAGACACACCCAGCACTATAGATTATGCTACCAGGGATTCCTACTGAGCTACATGGGTTTCTTAAAAAACACACATGCAGAGTAAAAATTATCCCAATAATTTAACACTTTCTGCTTCTCACATGACACAGAACATATACATTTTATTTGATTATTGTTATACGCTTTTGAGTCAACTATGACTCACAGCGAATCTACACTATCCTGAGCCAATTTCATCATCTCTGACATACCTACCCGTTTACCTCACTCACTGAGTCAATATTAAACACAGGATAAAGTAAGCCAAGTATTTATTTGCTTCTGAAAAGCAAAAAAATTGCTAAAATTAAGCTTTGCTTTTAGATACTTGTATAAGATGATACAAAAGCCTAATTTATTAAGGGACATAAAAATAACTATTTCAGTGACATAAAAAGGAAAATAATCTTTTATACTAACCTAATCTCCCGGTCATGTATTGAAGAAGAATATTCTAATTCCAGCAATACACCATGATTCCTAAGTGAATCTTTTATTTCTCTCAGGCCATTCATTTGCTCTGCTCTCGCAGTGTCCTAATAATAAAAAAACATAATTTCTTACCTCAGTTATTAGTATTTTAAATTATCCCTATGCTGTACAATGTGTATCATAAGTGAATTAAAATGAAAATATTCTAAACTAGGTTTGTTGTTTCTTTTAATTTTTTAAAAAGTTTTACTATTTGTGTGTGCGGGGGTGTGTGTATATGTACTGTCAAACTGGATCTGAGTGGTACAGAAGTTGATTGCCCCTACTTCCCAGCAGAGCATCTGGTGGATTTGAACCGCGTACCTCTGGGATTGCAATGCAGCTTCTTGCCACTAGGCCACCAGAGGTCCCTGCTTTAAAACTAGTTTTAATTTCTACTGTCTCAAAGAAGGAGCCAAAACATGTGAAGTGGTATAAACAGCAAATTGGCAGCATCAGTATGGATGGTGAAGAGATTGAGATAGTTAACAGGTTTAGTTTACTTGGCTCCACAGTCAACACTCTTGGTAACAGCAGCCAGGAAATCAAGAGAAGAATTGCATTGGGAAAGTCAGTTGTGAGGGACCTCTCAAGAGTACTGAAGAGCAACAACGTCAGGCTGGAGATAAGGTGTGCCTGATCCAAGCTATAGTCTTCGCAATTACGTTTTATGCATCAGACAGTTGGACAGTGAATAGGGATGAAAGAAAGATAATTGATGCCTTTGAACTGTGGTGCTGGAGAAGAGTGTTGAATATACCATGGACTGCTAGGAAAACAAACAGGTCTGTCCTGGAGAAGGTGAAATTGGAATGCTCCTTGGAGACAAGGATTCTGAAGCTTCGTCTGACATACTTTGGGCATGTGCAAAGAGGGACTGGTCGTTGGAGAGGGACATCATTTTGGGAGAGTGGAGGGAAGGCTCAGGAGAGGAAGACCCTTGATAGGATGGATCGATTCTGTGATTGGGGTGGTGAGAATAAGTGTGTTTGAGATGGTGAGGTTGGCAAAGGATAGAGCAGCATTTAGAGCTCTTGTATAGGGTCGCTATGAGTCACAAGCGACTTGAGCGAGGGCACATAAAAACAACAATGTGAATATGAGCTCTGGTGGCCTAGTGGTAAGAAACCGTACTGCAATCTCAAAGGCACATGGTTCAAATCCACCAGCTGCTCCACAGGAGGGACATTCTCCTCCCGTGTGATTCACTGTCTCTGTAGACCCACTGGAAGGTCAGCTATGGGTCAGATCTGACTCGATGGTATATAACAACAATGTGAGTATAACACAACTGTACTAAATTCTAGTAAAAGTTACAGGTTTTACTCATTTAAATAGGGCTGCCTTCTAAAGTTAAACCAAGAAATCAAATTTAGGATTCCTATATAAAACTCAATGTAGATAAGCTCACTAATACTCTGTTCCCCAGAAAGTCAATGCAATTGTATAAATACTAGTAAGGTAGAAACAAAAATTAATATTTCAAATTGCTCCCGAGAACATCCAAGAAAATAAACAGACCAAATATAAGGCTGCCATTAAATTTTATCTCTTTGATAAATGTACATGTTCTCTGTCATGTGGGAAGAGAACTACGTGTTGTCACTGAGTAAAGTTAATTAAATCAAGAAAGAAGAGCTTTTAGATACTTACTTCAGCCAGAGTGGTGAGAAGATGAATGGTTTTCACTTTACACGATCTTTTAATAAGCATCTCACAAAATCGAAGAAGGTTATACAGCTGAAAGACATAGGTTGGGTTATTACTATCTAGTCAGTTTTAGCAGACAATATGTAAAGTTTCATTATATTTTATCTGTTCTTGTCTATTTCACTTACCTGATGAGTCTGTCTAATATAAGGATCTTCAATCCAAACTTCTGTAACCATTTCATTAAGGTATTCTTGAAAAAGTGACTCATAACTGAAACCTGTTGCGTTCTCTTCTATTTTAATTTGCTTGTGATATTTCCCATCTACAAAACAAGCTTACATAATAAAACTACTGCCCACCAATTTTTATTAGTAAATATTTCATATATAATTTTATGGATGGCAGGAGTAAGGGAAATTGGAAGAATTTGGTGTGAAAAACAATGTATTCAAATATTATAAACCAGTATAAAAAATATTTCATACATAGATAGTATTTAGTCAGGAGTAGATACCAGCTAATTTTTTATACTTATTAACATGACAAATACTTCTGAAACACTGTAACATACAAGTAAGGCAAACATGGTGTCTACACTCCTGGAATGCAGGGAAGAGAAGTCCAGAGAGTTCTTGCACAGGTTTTGAGTTGGATCCTCTGGACCAGGCAGATTCTTGAAGGCAGGGCTGTGTGTAAGCCGTCTGATAACCTTCTGTTCCCATGGGTAGAACCATAGCCGTAACCCAGTGGCTGGTTGTTCCTTCTCTTCAAACTTTGTTTTTTATGTGCTGCACTTGAAAAGCTAAGGTGAATGTTAAACATAAACCTTGTATAATAGTCTTAGAAGTCTTTCTTGGAACATGTAGAGAGGGTTTTAAGCTGAAGTTTATAGTATTTTCTTAACAGCCTAACCTGAAGACTAGACTATCTCAGGGCCAGTTGGATAGTTTGATTGGTTTTGCTCAGCAAGTGAAAATTCTTGGAATAAATTTCTACAGGACTTTAAGGTTTTTAAAAAACTACCCCTTCTGGTAGTGTCTAATTTATATGCTGATTGTTTTAAGTTGAGAGTTTGGATTCTGTTCTAAATATTTCCAAAGACACTATGTTAGAAACTGTACAATTAATTTTCAAGCAATGTTAATTTCACTCAATATATTGAAGACACAATGCTGATGGTACTGTTTAACCTACCCATCTAAGGGAGCTCTGGTGGCCTAGTGGTAAAAAGCTGTGCTACAATCCCAAAGGCACGTGGTTCGAATCCACCATATATGCTCAGCTAGAGGGAGGGCAATCTCCTCCTGTGCCAATCAGATCCGGTTTGACAGTATACAATAAGGAAAGGATAGAAAAAAACCAAACAAACCACAACCTACCCATCTAGTTAATTTAATGTATTGGGAGGAAATTTCATGCTAGATTTCAAGTATTTCCAAGGAAACAATGTTAGAAACAATAGCACAGTTTTCAAGCCAATGTTAATTTCACTCAATACGTTCAAGACACAAAGCTGATGTATTACACTTACCCATCTATTTCATGGAATGCATAGGAGCAAAATTTCATTATAGTGACTTTAAACTCTGTAACCGTGGCCAAATGGTCCTGACTGCCAAGTGCTCTTGAGTGCAGGGGCCAGTAGTACCACATGTGAATGGTATGTGCCACCACCTGTTTTCTAAAACAATCTCTTTACCTTCTTTTTCTTGATCCAAGTATTTCTTTATATTTTCAGCTCTGTCCATGTAGTCAGAAATTTTTTTTCTGAGATGACATTTCTTTGTGTCGTCTTTTGTGCCTATAAATTAGAAAATATATTCAATATTTTCAAAACAGTCTTTCTGTTTAATTGAGGCATTATGTTCAATCTCTCTAGTTTTCCAGACGTTTTCTATCCTGAGCATGTTTTCTCTATCCTTAAATATACAGGTAATAGGCTGAGATTGGACTTGATTGTACAAAACGTTTATTTTTACACTGTTGTTGTTGTTGTTATGTGCCATCAAGTCGCTTGCGACTCATAGCGACCCTATGTACAAGAGCTCTAAATGCTGTTCTATCCTGTGCCAACCTAGCCATCTCAAACACACTTATTCACACCGCTCCAGTCACAGAATCGATCCATCTCATCGAAGGTCTTCCTCTCCTTCGCTGCCCCTCCACTCTGCAAAACATGATGTCCCTCCTTGCAACATGCCTACAGTATGTCAGAAGAAGGTTCAGAATTCTTAACTCCAAGGAGCATTCCGGCTTCGCCTTCTCCAGGACAAACCTGTTTGTTTTCTTAGCAGTCCATGGTATATTCAACACTCTTCTCCAGCAGAAAGGCATCAGTTCTCTTTCTATCAACCCTATTCACTGTCCAGCTCTCTGATGCATAGCACGTAAATGCGAAGACTATAGCCCGGATCAGGTGCACCTTAGTCTCCAGTCTGACGTCGTTGCTTTTCAGTACTCTTGAGAGGTCCCTCACAACTGACTTTCCCAATGCAATTCTTCTCTTGATTTCCTGGCTGCTGTTACCAAGAGTGTTGATTGTGGAGCCAAGTAAACTAAACCTGTTAACTATCTCAATCTCTTCACCATCCATGCTGATGCTGCCAATTGGCCCAGTGGTTAGAATCTTTGTTTTCTTGATGTTGAGCTTCAGTCCATATAGGAGGCTATAGTCCTTGATCTTCTGCAGCAAGCGCTTCAGGTCCTCCTCAGTTTCAGCAAGCAGGGTTGTGTCATCTGCATAACGCAGACTGTTGATGATTCTTCCACCAATCCTGATGCCACATTCGTATAGCCCAGCGTCTCAGATGATCTGTTCTGCATACAGATTGAAAAGGTATAGAGACAGAATACATCCCTGACGAACCCCCTTCTTGATTTTGAACCATGTAGCGTCTCCTTGCTCTGTTCTGATGACTGCCTCTTGGTCCAAGTATAGGTTTCGCATTAGCACAATCAAATGTTCTGGGATGCCCATTCTTCTCAGAGTCAGCCACAGCTTGTTGTGATCCACACAGTCAAAAGCCTTTGCATAGTCAATGAAGCACAGATAGATATTCTTCTGGTATTCTTTGCTTTCTGCTAAGATCCATCTGACATTAACTATAATATCCCTAGTACCACGACCTCTTCTAAATCCAGCCTGCACATCTGGCAGTTCTCTGCTGACATATTGTTCCAAACGTTTTTGGATCATTTTCAGCAGAATCTTGTTTGCATGTGATATTAATGATACTGTTTGATAATTTCCGCACTCTGTTGACTCTAATAAGATTGGTCATCCTTCTTCCACAGAGCAGCTAGTGGATTCGAACTGCTTGCCTTTGGGAATGCAGTGGAGCTTCTGATTGAGAGGCCACCAGAGCTCCGTGGTAAGGTGAAAGAGGGAACTATTGTGTGTGTGTGTGCCGTCAAATCAGATCTGACTGGTACAGGAGGAGATTGTCCCTCCTTCCCCGGCAGAGCATCTGGTGGGTTTGAACCGTGAGCCTCTGCGGTTGTAGTTGCACTTCCTTGCCACTAGGCCACCAGAGCTCCCCTGAAAGAGGGAACTATTACATGTCAAACCTGATTCTGAGCAAATATGAGACAAATCTAAGTATCTATTACAAGTTTAAAAACTTTAGCAAAATCAAAAGATAGCACACAATACTTTCTCTCCCCACAAAACCGACTTCTCCTCCCAATTTCCCTAATACTCATTTTCCCAGCAACCCAATAATATCTTTGAATATATATTATCAATAAAATCTTACCTCAAGCTTCTCCCAAAACAGTCACAAGTCATTAACTCTTCTTCCCTTCTAATAACATTGTTTCCATAAAAATTTTAACATTTTATTTTGAAGTGATTTTAAATTTGCAAAAAAGTTCTTGCAGATGCCTCTAATCTTAACATATTCCACAGCCATTGTATAATTATCAGAACCAAAACTTTAACATTGATATAGACTATTAATTCATCTGTAAACCTTTTTTGGACAATGAATAAGTATGGCAGAAGAAATGATGACTTTGAATTGTAGTGCTGGAGAATACTGAATATATGCCATGGACTGTCAAAAGAACAAACAAATCTCTGGTGATGTAGTTCCTATGGAGTTGTGTTGTTGTTGTTGTTGCTGCTGCTGCTAAGCCAAAGTTGGCACTCCTCTGGCAGTTCAAATCCACCAGCGGCTCCACAGGAGAAAGATGGGCAGACTCCTCCTGTGTGATTTTCAGCTTCTGAAAACCTACTTTTGTTTGATATGAGTAAGTTCCAACTCAATGAGGTATTTGAATTGAGGCTTGGAATGAATCATTTATCTAGAGATTCTTGATTCCTTTTGTCCAGGAACACTACTGAGTAACCAACCCAATTCTGGATCCTAGGTATAGTCACTGTTACTATGATGGAAGGACCTCATCACTACTTGTAGACCTCTTCAGTTGACAAGAGTTAGGAAATATGTTTACGACCATATACATACATCCCAACTCATTTTTTTATCTGCTATTCACTTTTTATTTTTTTAATCTACTCATGACTTCATGACTTTCATAGGACTTACTCTAGTCATCCCTTTTCCTTATTTATATTTTTTTCTTATCTAGCATCCTAGAGAGGATTAAACCAGGCTACTCCTTGGAGGCAAGGATTCTAGGGCTTTGTCTGACATACTTTGGACATGTTGTAAGGAGAGACAGGTCCTTGGAGAGGAACATCATGCTTGGTAGGGTGCAGGGACAGCACAGGAGGGGAAGACGCTCTATGAGGTGGATTGATTCAGTGACTGGGGTAATCGGGATGGGTGTGTCAGAGGCAGTGAAACTGGCACAGGATAGAGCAGGGTTTAGGGCTGTTGTACATAGGTTCGCTATGAGTCGCAAACGACTCGACCGCACATAACAACAACAGAATATTTTTATTATTATAGTAATAAATATAGATGAAAATTTTCTTATCTACAGTAAGGTTCTTAATCACAATAGGGCAGGGTTCAGAGATGTTGTACATAGGGTCACTATGTTGCAGGTGACTGGATGGCATATAACAACAATATACTTATTTGCTCAGTCAATTAAAAAAATATTAATTTTGTTGCTGTGTTAGGTGCAACTCATAGCAACCCAATGAACAACAGATTTGAAACCCTGTCCTATCCTGTACCATCTTCCTCATTGCTGACATACTTAAGCCCATTTCTGTAGTCACTATGTCTGTCTTATCTCATTGAGGGTCTTCCTCTCCTTCACTGACCCTCCACCTTTCCAGGCATGATGTTCCTCTCCAAGGAAGAGCCTTTCCTAGCAATATGCCTAAAATATGTGAAACAAAATTTACACACTACTAACCCATACAATTATTAGAAACAAACTTATGAACTTGAATACAGTATTTGTGTATCATTTAATCTTTAATATTACAGAAGAGTAAAAATGTTATTTTTCAAAGATATATTACCTATCTCCTTACCTACCTCCTTAATTATGGAGTGTATGAACAATTCAGGGAAGTGTCAGTCCTTCCTCTCCCTTGCCACCTACTCCCTACTCCTTGAAGAAGAGATAAGAATCACCCTTAATAAGTTCCATTCATCGTGTTTATTTTGTTCATGTTTTCTTTACACAATTCAATAGATACATGAACATTATAGCATGTCTTTTTTACTTCAGGGATAGCAAGCTAGTCTTTGTTCTGAGTTTTTTAAACTTAACATTCTGGACAGAACTCCCTATTTATTATTTTTTTTATAGAGATTTTCCTCATTCCTTTTCTTTAAAATAGCAGCCACTCCTTGCTTATTGACACAGCTTTCAAAGACCAGGTCACTAATGCTATTTCATTTTGTGAAAATGGAGGATGATCACATCAGATAAAAAAAATGGAGGATCATCATTATGTAACTTCTAAATTACTGAGGCAGGATGGTACACAGCCTTAACCATTCAGCTGATGTTTCTCTCACCTCACACCTTGACATTAGTTACTGTCAAAAATACACAAAATAAATTTAAATGTAAAAAAAAAAAAATTAAGTTAGAGTAAGGATGGCAATGGATTTATAACTGCTCATGTTAATAACACTTTACCGTGGCATGGAGGAGGAATAGTGGAACTGTATCCACATTTACAATATTCTTCTTACCAAAGAAGAATTTTCCTATTTATGGAAAAAGTTTCCTATTTATGGAAAATAGGAACTGCATTGGAACATGTATCTCTGGATTGGAAATGATCATATTGTTAATATTTCTAGCCTTAAGCTTAA